GGGAGAGGGAGAAGCAGGCTTCCCGCTGAGCAGGAAGTCCGATGTGGGGCTCAATCCCAGGACCCTGGGATCATGACCTGAGCCAAAGGCAGACGCTTAACGACTGAGCCCCACCCAGGCACCCTACTTTGCTCTTAAATATTACCTTTTCCCTTCTGATGTATACAAAAGTCCTTTTTAGTCTATTTAATTTCCCTCTATTAATACTGTGTTAGGCTGGGTAGACTAACTGCTCTGGAAATCCCCAAATCTCAGTGGCTTAAGCTAATAAAAAGTTTATTTCTTGCTCATGTCACAGTTTAGTGTGGGAAGGCAAGAATGATCTTGGTCTACCTAGTTATTGAGATACCAAGGCTCCTTCTATCTAACGCCTTCCAGGAGTCTCAGCAGATGCGAGGAGAAAGAAAGGGTGTGAGGGAATGCATGGAAGTTTTTATGACCCTAGCCTGGACATTGGTATCTCTCACTTCCACTCACATTCCACTGGCCAGAATGCCCATACCTTACTGCATCTAACTGTAAGGGGGGCTAGGAAATGTTGCCTAGTGGTGTGCTCGGGAAGAAGAATGAACATATTTGGAGAGCGGTTGGCCATTTCCTGCCATCTCCTCAACTCTCAGGAATTTTCCTTATCATCTCTATGCCTGCATTCTGGCAAGTTGGGAAGAGAAGGGAACGTGGAAGATACGCCCCCTTCCTTTGAAGGACACAACCCAAAAGTTGTCCACGTCCTTTCTGCTTACAGCCCATTGGGCCAAACTTAGTAACCTGGCCACTCTTGCTGCCATGGGAGTCCTTACCTGAGGAAATGTAGCTCTTATCATGTACCCAGCTAAACTGTGAGTGTTCTTTCACTAATGAGAGAAAGATGGGTATCAGGACAATGAGTGGTCTCTGCCAACATCCACCCCTTCATCACTCAAATTGTTGTGCAGGATGCCTGCCTGGGTGGCTCAGTCAGTTAAGCGGCTGCCTCTTGATTTTAGTTGGGGTCACACATGATCTCAGGGTCCTGGGATCGAGCCCGGCATTGGGCTCTGAGCTCAGCAGGAGTCTGCTGGAGATTCTCTCTCCCTCTGTCCCTCCCCCCTGCACTCCCTCTCTCCCTCTCTCTCTCAAATAAATCTTAAAAAAAAAAAATAGTTGTGCCAAATTCTCTACTTTTAGTGGTGGGACATAATGGCATTTGGGGTCTCTAGGAATGAGTATCAGTTCAGAGCCAGTAATTCCTGAAAACCCTGGTTATTTTTCTTTCCTTGGTGCATTCTTACATTAGTCAATGGCTATAGGCTCCTTTCAGAGGATCAGAGAAAGAGAGATTAAAATAGTCTGCCTGATGCATTGGCAAGGTAGACAAGTTGGAGTTTGAGGGATAGCTGAGAAGCCAAACATGTCTGGTTGCCAAATGGGAATAAGAAGGATCTTGTGGAGGGGTCCATAAGAAGCAGTTACCTCTGGGGGTGCCTAGGTGGACCAGTCTGTTAGTCATCCAACTCCTGGTTTTGGCTCAGGTCATGATCTCGGGTTTGTGAGATCAAGCCCCTCCTCAGGCTCCTTGCTCAGTGCAGTCTTGAAATTCTCTGCCTCTCCCTCTGCTCTCTCTCTCTCAAATAAATAGTCTTTAGAAAAAAAAAAAGCAGCAGCAGCAGTCACTTCTGGATAGTTACCCGTCTGTGGGTCTGTAGTCAAGCATCCAGGGGTGTGCCTGGGGTTGCTGATGGTCGGCAGGGCCAGCAGGTGGGAAAAACAAACAGGATGCAGGATTGTGTCTAAGGACAAACTGAGACTTTCCAGGAAACTATGTTACTTATCTTATGGTAATAATCTTCAGAGAGAGATGGCTACCACTTCACTCCTCCCTTCTAGGTATCTTTTTTTTTTTTTAAAGACTTTATTTATTTGAGAGAGAGAATGAGAGACAGAGAGCATGAGAAGGAGGAAGGTCAGAGGGAGAAGCAGACTCCCTGCTGAGCAGGGAGCCCGATGCGGGACTCGATCCTGGGACTCCAGGATTATGACCTGAGCTGAAGGCAGTCGCTTAACCAACTGAGCCACCCAGGCGCCCCTCCTTCTAGGTATCTTACAAGTTCTTTTGGTTAACTCTAACCAGGAACCACAGAGGGAAGAGGATTTAGGGAAACATAGTTTTCAATCCAGCATACCTAGTTTGCACATACGCTTACTCAAAGAGAGCCAAATATGTACAGCTCAAAAGTCAGGGTCTCTTGGTGGACTGCAGGCTATTTGTTGTGCATATGGCGGCTCATGAGTCCCTAATTTACAGCCAGGACTTCTCTCTGCTCCATACCCACCGCACAAGCAGCCAGGTAACTGTAAGAAGATACACTGGATCAAAAATAAGAGCTAGAACTCTGGGAGCTGGAAAATGATGTAAAGATAATTTCAAAATCCTGAGTAAAAGATATGCTTGTGGCCATGATGGGGTAACTGACTCCAGACTGGTTCCAGATGGAGTGTCACTATGGATAAAGTGGACAAAGTATATGGAACAGCTGTTTTCAGACATTTCAGACAGGAAGTGGGTTTTGGAGACCATAAACGTCCCAAATGTGTGGCACAGCTCAGACAGGGTAGAACTGTCCAGCTTCAAATGCCACTCATGTTCTTTGAAAACACTGTGTTGGAAGTACAAGGGTGTTATCAGTGATAGCGATAGCCAGATTGTCCAAAAGTTTGAAAGTAACCATTTTGCCAGAGAGGTAGCAGCTCTCAGCTTCTGGATTGCTATTTTGGGGTTGTCACTGTTATTACCATTCATTTCAGGTTTCATTATGTCAGCACCTCACTTCTGGATACTAAATTATGAGCTGGTTAAGATACAGTTTTGGCTGCTATAGTAAAGGCAGAAATAACAATGATTTAAACAAGATAAAACTCTGTCACAGAACCCTCCATGCATTAGGCAGCAGAAGGCTGGTAAGATGGCTCCACAGTGTCAGGGTCCTGGGCTCCTCCCATCATTTGTTCTGCCATCTTCGACATAGGGCTCCTGTCTTGGAGTCAAGAAGGCTGCTCCAGCATTCACCAGTATGTGTAATTTTAGGAAGGTGAGTAGAGGTAATAGAGGGCATGCCTCTACTCTTCAAGGGCTCAACCCTTACATTCCATAAGCCAGCCCTTAGTCACATGGCCACATCTTCTGTAAAGGAGGCTGGTGATATTGCAGTCTTTGGCTGGGTGGCCTGCATGCAGCTAAAACTTAGGAACTCTCTTATTAAAGGAATGAGTGGAGAATAGATATGGGACAAGTAGTTTCTGCCACAAATGCGTTTCATGAAAAGAACGTCCATAAGACAAAACAGACAGATCTAAGGAGAACCAATCCAAAGGTGAAAATGGGAGTAAGAAAAAGAAAGAAAGAAAGAAAAGCAGATTTCTTGGTAGGAAATGATACCAGCCTTAGATACATCAATGAGAAATCCTGTGAAACTAATACTCCTTTTTATTTTGTTGGTCATGAAAGTTCCTACTTACATTTTAAAGTTCCACTAAATGTCACCTCTCTGATATCCCTGAATATTTTGTTTGTATATCTATGCGTTTGCCATGCTGTAACATACTCTAGGTCATTCCTAGCTTTGTAACTCTCTCAAGGTGACTCTGAAGGAGTATCCAAATAATTAAGATCAGAGCCCCTGATACTGGCCTATTTGTAGGCAGGATGACCTGATGTCTGAGATTTGCTTTAAAATACTCCAGCAAAAGATGAAAAAGGGGGGAATAGATGAAACAAGATTGACAAAATGTTGATTTGTTGGAGCTGTGTAAGAAGGGCCTGGGTGATGATAATACTGTTTCTTTTGTAAATGGTAACACATTTGTAATATAACAAAGCAAAAGGCCAGTCCTTGGAGACAGCCAGACCTGGGTTCAAACCCTAGTGTCACCACTTACTAGCTAAATGACTTTACCTCTCTATAAATTCAGTTTTTCTTTTTTAAAGATATTATTTATTTCACAGAGAGAGACAAAGCGAGAGAAGGAAAACAAGCAGGGGGAGTGGGAGAGGGAGAGGCAGGCTTCCCGCTGAGCGGGAAGGCCGATGAGGAGCTCGATCGGAGGATACTGGGATCATGACCTGAGCCGAAGGCAGACGCTTAACGACTGAGCCACCCAGGCGCCCCAAAATTCAGTTTTTCAAGATGGAATAATGTGTGAGCCTTTAGGGTTCTTGTAAATATTAAATGAGACCGAATTTGAGACATCTAGCGCAAGGTCTGGCCCTTAGTAGTTGCACTAATAATGGTGCCTGCTAGCAAGGAACAGAAACTGACCTTGGTTTTAGCTAATTCCTCTGACATGCAGATATTAGGAGGCAGAGGTAGAACTTGAAATCTGACCTCTGATTCCTAGACCTAGAGCGTTTTCTCTGTTACCGCACTCCTTCAAAAACCTTATCTTGACTTGGTGCTTTGCAGTTTATGCCTTAGAAGAAAAGGAACATAGTTCGGGCGCATGTCTGGAACTTGGGACACTCGGTAGTGCGGAGTGGCCCCGGGGCGTAGGAGACTAACTGCCGCGGAGTGGTCTGGCCGCGAGCTGGGAGCTAGCCGTGGACGCTACCCCAAGCCGGCGCGGACCCACTACCGCCCGAATTCACGCTCGCCCTCCCCTCCTCGCTCGCCCTCCCCTCCTCGCTCGCCCTCCCCTCCTCGCTCGCCCTCCCCTCCTCGCTCGCCCTCCCCTCCTCGCTCGCCCTCCCCTCTTCGCTCACCCCTGGGTCTGGTCGAGCCCCTCCCGCTCGGGTCCCCGCACTCGCTCCCAGCCCGCCGCGGATTTCCTCTCAACTTGCGCTGCAGGGGGCGGAGCCGCGGGTCCCGGCGCGTGATTGGCCGAAGCTCTGGCGCTCCCCTTGGCCGCCCCCTTCGGCGGGGTGAGAGGTCAGCAGAGCGCCGGTTGGCAGAGGCTGCAATGGTGGGCCTCTGGGTGTGGACGGCGGTGGTGGTCGCGGCCGGACGGCGTGGGCGGCGATGGTCGCAGCCGCTGATGCGGAGCACAGCGCTGTGTACCCTGAAGGTGAGGAGCGACCGGGGCCCCGGGCCTGGGCTTCGCTGGGCTCGCAGCCCCGCACCGCCTGGGGGTGGCCAGTGCGGCGGAGAGCGCCCCGCGGTTCTCCGGGCGACGCCGCGGCCGGTTCGGCAGCAGTCCGCGTCCCTCGTCGCTCCGCAGCCCTTACTGCGAGGCTCGTGGAGGGCAGAGGGGCCCACCGAGCCGGCAGGCGTGCGCTTTCGGTTCGCCTGCGCGGGGAGCGGCTGACAGCCATCTGGCTATAATATACGTGCGTTCCCCGTGCACGGGTTCTCGTGCCTCTCGGCTTCGGCTTGCTCTCGAGCTTCCCAGGGTGAATTTTTAAGGGTCCTTACAGTTTACATTTTCTCTTGCCTCTTTCCAAATTCGAAGGGTCACTGAATTGCTGCTGAAGTAGAGTTAGGGTTGTGAGTTTATCTCAACTTTTAGAGTATCTTCGATGCCAGGATTGCTGCTACCTTTTAGGTTTGAGTTGAGATCGTATTTTAATCGTATTACATCGCGGTATACTGTGTATGCATCCTGTGAATTTATTTTTCTTTTCTATGTAGTGGTTAGCCGAATTTTTGTACTGTTCTAAACCCATTTTGCCACTGTTCTGTATGTCTCAGGGTTTCCTGGTGGCAGCCGTGGCTCAGTGTTGAGAGTGTTTGTGGGTGGCTGTTAACACTGTCTTGAAAATGGCGTCTCTTGCTGTTTCTGAGCAAAGACAACCTTACTTTATTAATAGGGTTTATTAAGTCATTTGAACAAACTCTTTAAAATAAGGTCTCCCTGAAAACCACCTGTCATCTGGTTCAATCTGCTTATTAAACTTTTTTTTTTAAATCTTTTAAAAATAGTCACATAATGTGATTTATTGTCCTTGAACTCTAGAATTGGAAGACACTTTAGAGATCATCTGGCCCATCCAACTCTTTTAAAGAGGAGGGAACTGAGGCCCAGGTGAGCAGTGTGGGAGCTGGTGCTGGAAAAGGAAGTAAGCCTGCACCTGTATGAGCTTAGTCAACTTTGGAATGCCACTCTCAAAATACAGTGTTCTTTGTGTTGCCACGAAATTTATTGTTCTGAAATGCTGTCTGTGTTCTGTAATCATTTGTTGGTTACATCAATTGCAGTTGCCAAAACTCTTATGTATTTAAAACTTTATTGTTTTTAAATGCTGTGTTCTGTGATCATTTGTTGGTCACGTCAGTTGCAGTTGCCAAGACTCTTAACATATTTATGTAGGAGGCAGCATGGTATAGGGGAAAGGCATGGGCTTTGGAGACACAGATGAAGTTTTGCATGATATTAGACAAGTCACTTTGCTGGGCCTCAGCTTCTTCCTTTCAGCTACTTTTTTATTCAACAAATCTTTATTGGATTATTTCCTGTGTTCCATTGATAGGGAAAAATATAGTTTCTGCTCTCTTAGACATTTCAGTCTATTAGGGAGAGACAAATAGGTGTAAAATACTATTGGGGGAGAGGTCTTGGTGCTATAAGAAAATAAAATGGAGGGATCTGACCACCAAGTCAAGATTTTGAGCTCAGTGTCATAGATACTGTTCTGGTGCTTTACTTGAATTAATTTATTAAATCCTTATAATAACTATATAATCCCTATTTATAGATGAAGAAACTGAGGCACAAAGTGTTGTGTAATCTGCTCAAAGCTATGGAATTAGTAAGTGGCAGAGCTAGGATTTAGAACTCCAGAACTGGTACCCTTAATCATGCTATACTGCTTAAGGGAAAGAAATGTTTTCCTTTGCAAGTGAAAATTGAAACAAGTTTTGAAGGGTAAAGTGACTTTTTGTAGGCAAAGAGAGAAGAGAAGGTGGGGGGTGGGGGGAGGGGCAGAGAGAGAGGGAGAAGCAGGCTTCCCCTTGAGCAGGGAGCCTGACACGGGGCTTGATCCCAGGACCCCTGGATCATGACCCAAGCCAAAGGCAGACGCTTAACTGACTGAGCTACCAGGCGCCCCTTCTTTCTTTTCTAGGGACACTTGTCTTTGGATTTAGGGCCATGACAGGATCCAGGATGATCGCATCTTGAAACCCTTAAATATATCAGCAAAGACCCTTTTCCCAAAAGAGGTCACAGTCACAAGTTTTTTTTTTTTTTTTTAAGATTTTATTTATTTATTTGACAGAGCACAAGCAGGGGGAGCGGCAGGGAGAGGGAGAGGGAGAGGGAGAAGCAGGCTCCCTGCTGAGCAGGGAGCCCACAGTCACAAGTTCTAGGACCTGGACACATCATTTTGGGAGGCACCATTCAACCCACTACACTATTATGTGCCAGGTGCTGGCTAGTGCTGTGGTATAACAGTGAACGTTTCTGCCCTCATTGTGGTTATATCCAAGTAGAGGACACTGACTGTGTTCACAGAAATAGGTAAGCTCAAAGAGCAGTAAGGGCTCTGAAAGGAATCAGGCTAATGGGATAAAGAGTGGTGGTGATGTTGGGAGCTGGCTACCTTTGGAAAATAGGGGAGACATTTCTGAGCATGTGGCCTTTGAAGGGAAAATTGACCCAGCCCGCCATGTGACAGTCTTGGGGACTAGCACTCCAGAGGAAGGCCAAAGCAAAAGCTCTGAGGCGCGACTGCATTTGTTGTAGTCAAGGGATGGATGTGGCCAGTGTGGTTGGAGTGGAGTGAGTGAGGGAGGAATGCAAGGAGATGAGGTAGACAGGGCAGTCATCTGGGGGCATGTATGTGGAATTTAGGCTAATAGTGGGAGTCCATTGGAGTATTTTAAGCAAATTGGATTCATGTTTTGAAAAGACTGCTACTGCTGTGTGCAGAATGTCCTAGTGGGGACTGGGGTGGGCAGAGTGGCAGCCGGGAGACTGGTCAGGAGGCCATTGTAGAAATTCAAGCTAGAGATGATGGTAGGGTGGTGGCACGGGAGTTCATGAGAACTGCTAAGACCTGGGGTATATTTTGGGACTAGAGCCAGTAGTACTTGCTCTTGGGTTAGAAGGGAGATGTAGGGAAAGAGTGGAATCCAGGACCCTTGAAAGGAAGGCACAAAAGTCCCCCACATATTGTAGGATTCCATTTATATGAAATGTCCAGAATAGGCAGATGCATAGAGAGAGAAGGCTGACGACTAGTGGGTGCCAGAGGCTGGGAGGAGGAGGAGGGGGGGATGGTAGAGACTGCTAATAGCTAAGGGGTTTCTTTTGGGGGGGATGAAAAAATGTTCTGGAATCAGATAGTGGTGATAGTTCCACAACCTTGTGAATATACTAAAAAACCACACAGTTGTATATTTTAAAAGAATGAGTTTTATGGTATGTGAATTATAGCTCAATTTACAAAAAAAAAAAAAAAAGTGACTCTTCGGTCTACCTAAGATTCAAACTCAAATCTGACTTCAGTGCTTTTATTATACCATATTAACAAATTTAATAAAAAGGATAAAGAGCAAATTTATATGGCTTTGGCACAAAAGGTAGTTTGAACTCCATAGTAGCCACAGAAAAGAGGGAAGCAGTAGGCCATAAAGCTGTCCATGTCTTACGGTAATAAGGAACATTCCTTCATCAGGATGAATAGACCTTGTCCTAGCATTGCCTGCATAGAATACATTATATAGGGGCAACTAGCAATCCAATAAATAACTTTGATATTTGTTTTACAAAAACTGCAGCGTTTTACAAAAACCCATCTCCTTGGTTTCTGCCTATCTGGCCCTTTGTGAAAGCTATCGTTGTGGAAAAACAGTTGTGTTGGAGGTGGGATAGGTTTTCTAGAAGCAGAGCCTGAAAAGGGATTTTGTGCCAGGGGGTGGTCAACAGAAGCGTAAAGAAAGCAGGATAGTGCAGGGGGAAAAAAAGCTAAGCAAGGAAGGGGCTCCAACTGGAGATTAGCTTTAGTCTCGTCCCACAGGGGAGCTCTGGAGCAGTGGTTCTCGAAGTGGGGATTCAGTTTGCAGCAGAAGTAGCATTCCCTGGGAACTTGTGAGAAATACACATTTTGCTGCTGCACCCCAGACTGGCCAATTAGAAACTGGGGATGGAGCCCAGCAATGTTTTCACAAGCCCTCCAGATGATATTGTTGCATGGGAAAGTCCGAGAAACCCTGCTCTAGATTAGCCCTGTCCAATAGAAACGTAATGTGAGCTGCAAATGTAATTTAAAGTTTTCCAGTACTCCCATTAAAAAAGTAAAACAAGGGGATGCCTGGGTGATGCAGTTGCTTAAGCATCCAACTCTTGGTTTCGGCTCAGGTCGTGATCTCAGGGTCGCGAGATTGAGCCCCATGTGGGACTCCACACTCTGCGGAGTCTGCTTGAGATTCTCTCTTTCCCTCTCCCTCTGTCACTCCCCCTTGTGCCATCTCTCTCTCTCAAACAAATAAGAAAATCTTAAATAAAAGTAAAACAAGGTGAAATTAATATTAGTGTATTTTATTTAACTCAGTATATTCAAAATATTATTTCAACGTATAAATGTAAAAAATATTAATGAAGTCTTTTGCATTGTTTTGGTATTAAGCCTCCAGATCTGGTGTGTATTTTATACTTGGAGCATGTTGGAATCTTGACTGGTGCATTTCAAGTGCTCAGTAGCTGTATGTGGCTAGTGGCTGCCATATTTGGACAGCCAGTTCTTAACCAGATTGCACTACTGAATTGGTCCCACCATGAAGTGAGTGGAGAGGGCCTTTTGAACCCCCTTGCTAGTCAGTCATTGGCTGTGGGCTGAGAAGGGGTAGCTCCCTGGCTTGATGGAGAACTCCTGTCTGGTTAAGGCACATTGGCCAGACTAGGGAGCAGGTGTGATCTGTGAGTAGTCAACACAGCAGCTGGGGATGCTGCGCTGCCTGCTGAAGAGGCTCTGGATGGGCCCCAACGACATCTGCTACAGGTGGGGTGGGAAGAATGGCCTGGTAGGGGAGCCGGGTGGGAGGATGACATTTTAGAGTTGATGTATATAGGTTCCTGATGCTCTAACTTTGTGGAGGCAGAGCCAGAGAACCAATCTTGAGATTTGA